ATGAGAGGTTCCTGTCAGAGCAGCACTAATTCTCAGCCTGTCACACAGGGCTGCTTCCTGGCTGAAGAAGCCCAGGCTGCCTGCTCAGCAGTGTTTGGCATCAAAATAATTCAAGTGGAAATGTGTGTCCTTTCTGCCACATAGGGGAAAACTTCTCCTGGAGCTTCCTGCCACAGGCTGGGTGGGCTTGGGCCAGGAGGCTCCCTGTTCCTGCAGTTGAAGGATGGGTGTTGCAGGACATGCAAGAATGGAGTTGATGGCCTGGACTGGACAGCCATGAAGAGCATCTTCACCCGCAGGTAGGACCCGGTCCCAGGGAAAGGACAGCCTCCAGCCATAACCATGACCACATAAAGAACATCTTCATGGAGGTACAGCACCTAGTCCCACCCAGGGCAGGGATAGCCCCCAAGCCATGATCTTGAAGATGACCATGACCAGTGACTAGGACCAGAGAAGATATCTTCTTCATCTGAAGGGCAATACCCGGTCCCAGGGCAGAGACAACCCAAGCCATGACTTGTGAACATGAGCATAGTATAGCATCTGATGGGCTCTGGGACCTGTGGAATAGAGAGGTGAGGCCTCTGGTCCATAGACCTTTGGGAAGGATGAGGAGCTTGTCCCAGGGGCAAGCTTGAGAAACCCCAGCTGGATACGATGCCATTGGATGTCTGTATTTGCTGGCTCTTCTCCTGCTGGGGGGCATCTGTGGCTGAGGGGATCTGGAGGGGTGGTGGTGGGGGCTGTTCTGTGGGAGCAGAGCAGAGCCAGTGAGTCTGCTGTGAGGAGAGAGATGTGTCTCAGGGACACAGGCAGATACAGTGGGAATGAAACTTGGGGAATAAACAGAGACATTAACATGAGATATTGAAGAAGTTTTGCATTGAGAGCTCAGCGTCATCTCCTCCTTTACCTCTCCATGAAAATTTCAGTAAAATCTGTGAGACTTGACAATGCATTTGAGGTTGGGCTGCTCAAACTCCTTGATCCGGTGAGCAGTGTTCCCTTAGGGCCGCCTTGCCATCAACCTCAGCATGCCCCACTCCCTTCCCAGACAGCTCAGGGCTGAGCCCCTTCATCAAGGCTGGCCCCAGAACGGTGCCTCCAGAGCAGATGGCCCCCCTGCCTCCTGTCTGCTCTTTGGAGATAAAGAAGGGAAACAGGCCATCTGAGAAGCCGGGTTAAAATCACTGTGGTGTCTCCCCAGGGAGACAGGTTCGAACCCCCAGGGAGCTTTCCAGGGATGGCGGATGCAGACAACAGCCCGGGAGGGAGTGGGAAGAGAGTGCTGTGGAAATTCTTGCCTGGTGTCCTTCCCAGAAAGTGACTTGGGCAGAATTTCTCTGTGGAATCAGCCTATTTACTTAAGCTTGGTGAAGTAGATGGGGCTGTAGCCATGTCTGGGGCAGCTGCGATGGGCCGCTTTTCGTAATTATCCGTTAGTAATTATCCGTTAGCAATTATCTGCTAAGACTTTGGTAAACAGCAGCCTGTTTAGCCACCCCTGAAGGATTAAATCAGTACATTTATTGCTCTATTCACTGCTATTAACCTCCTAAGAGGCTTTTGCACCCCGGACCTGGCGTTTTCATCTGATGAACTCCAAGGAGAACATCTGTGGTGGAAGGCAGTGGGGGCGGGGTGAAGCTCATCAGGGCGGCTGCTGGGGGGACGTTTGTTGACTGCCATTCTCCATCAGGGCATCTGCAGCGGGCATCCTCTTGTGCCTGGCATCCCTGACAATGTGCACGCTCTGCAGGAATGCAGAAGCTTCTCTTAGGGAGTGTATCTCAAGAAGCAAAGGGCCCAGCCTGGCAGGGCCTGGAGAGTTCTGGAGAGAGACGTGGGCAGACAGGCAGGCTGGGCCTTTCCTGGGAGGGGTGGGTGGATGCGGCTGGCACGCTTTGGGGTCACGGTCTGTAGGGTCAGGTAGAGGTCTTCGTCTCTCTTGAAGTGCGCAGCGAGCTTGGCTGATTGGATGAAGGTCAGATTAAGATGAAGAACATATTTTCAGCAAGGATCTGCCCTGACTTTCCCTTTGGGTTAAGGTTGCCTTTTCCTTTCTGGGCATTTCAGGGACAGCCCCAAGCCATGACTGTGAAGATGAACCCACTGCAGAATGGATGGGCCTCCAACTGGTGGGTGAAGCCTCTGGTCCAAAGGTGCTTGGCAGGGATGGGATGCTCCTCCCAGGGGCAAGCTTGAGAAACCATAGCTAGTCATGACATCTTTGGCCACGAGGTATTTGCTGGCCATTGTCCTGCTGGCTGACATCTGTGAGCTGAGATGTGGAGCGAATGATGGTGGGGATGTTCTGTGCTCTGAGCCACCTCAAGGGGCATGGTGGGACCGTGTTCTTGGGGGGTAGAGGATGTGGCACAGCTGGGACACAGGGCAGCTCCCAGGGCTTACTGTCGGGAGGGCCGGGCTACTAATGACTAGCTTTTTCCTCTGAGGGCCTCATGCCTCGGCAGGTGTGAGGCACTGCCCTGGCCCATGGTGGGCGGGCAGCAGGTGTCTAGGAGGCCCCGGGCAGGGGCCAAGCAGGGTTGCAAAATGGTAAGGAAACCTAGACTCGGCCCTTGCTTTTGTGCAGATGCTCGTCTAGAGCAGAAACCGTAATAGCTCTTCAGCCATGACCGAGACCAGCCAGGACGCCGGACACAGCCAGGCCTCCGGGCTCAGGCTGTTGGATCTAATAGGAGATCGGATGTTCAGGCCTAATTCTCTAGCTTGTCCCCTAGACTCCAAAGCCATTAAACATGAGGAAAAATGAGAGGAAACGAATGAATAGGATCAATGTAAATCCATTTTGGAAGAGGCCATTCTAATGGTTCATTTTGGAAATCCTTTCGAAGCCGGCTTTCTCCATCTTTTTTTTTTAAATTTAATTTAATTTATTTATTTGACAGAGATAGACACAGCGAGAGAGGGAACAGGGGGAGTGGGAGAGGGAGAAGCAGGCTTCCCGCGGAGCAGGGAGCCCGAGGCGGGGCTCGATCCCAGGACCCTGGGATCATGACCTGAGCTGAAGGCAGACACTTAACAACTGAGCCACCCAGGCACCCCTTCCATCTTCTTTTCAATAATCAAGAAACCCTTGGTGTAGAGTGAGGAGATGTTGCAAAGCCCCAAACTGGATGACAGGATTGGTCAACAGATTTTTATTTTTTTTATTTTTATTTTTTAAAGATTTTATTTATTTAGTTGAAAGAGACAGAGATAGCGAGAGCAGGAACACAAGCCGGGGGAGTGGGAGAGGGAGAAGCAGGCTTCCTGCGGAGCAGGGAGCCGGAGGCGGGGCTCGATCCCAGGACCCTGGAATCACGACCTGAGCCGAAGGCAGACACTTAACAACTGAGCCACCCAGGCGCCCGGTCAACAGATTTTTAATATGTAAATTAATTTACATCAAGGACTGAATAGGTAGAACAACAGAACGATCCCCATTTTAGTATAAATGGCCCTCATTGCTGAGTTTAGGGTGTGGAGATTTTATCAGAAGATCGGGTTGGACAGTTGCTTTACTTTCTGAGTCAGGGCTTTCAAAACCGGTTTGCATCGAAATGACTGGCAAGGGTTTATTTTTATTTTTATTTTTTAAAAAGTTTTTTTTTATTCATTTGAGAGAGAGCACCAGCAGGGGGAGCGGCAGGCAGAGGGAGAAGCAGATTCCCAGCTGAGCAGGGAGCCCGATGCAGGGCTCCATCCCAGGACCCTGAGATCATGACCTGAGCCAAAGGCAGACGCTTAATGACTGAGCCACCCAGGTGCCCCATGGCAAGAGTTTAAAACAAAAATGACATTCGGCCAGATCTCAGGTCTCTGGGGCTGAGGACCCCAAATCAGGCACACCGCCAAGGTGTTTCATGGGGAAGCTGAAAACGCCAACGCCATGAAAGAACCACTGGCAGAAAACAGACCAGAACCTGCTGCTTGCTGACCCTAGCGGGCTGCCTTTGGGAGTCCCTTGGGTCCAGCCCAGACCCTCTTTCCCTTTCAGCCTGCAGCTCCTCCCCATCCTGTTCTGGCTCCATCTTGCCTGCCCCTTGGGCTACCCCGTGTCCCAGCCTGGGACGTATTGGTTCTCTGCGGGGAGCACCCTCCAGACAAGCCCTTGGAGATGGGCTCCAGTTTAACTGCTGTGTTATTGGGCCGAAGGCCTCCTGTCCATCAGGTGAAGAAGGGGAGGAAGGAAGGTCAGCAGGGGCCCAAGCCTCCTGCCCCGTCCTGGGTACGGAGCTGCTCGGGTGATGGAGGCACACCCAGGTGCATCGCACCCTTCAGTGCACCTGTGCGGTCGGTAGGCTGTGGCCTCCCTGAGGGGGCGGGTAGCTCTTCCCCCCGGGGAAGCAGGAAGGCTTCCGGTTTGAAATGTGCCTGTCCGTCACGCAGTCAGGCCTGTTTTGCACCTCTCACCTGTCCCTGTGAGGACCTTCCACTGGGTCAGGGCCTGTGCTGAGCTTCGGTGGAGTGTTGGCGACAAAGTTTACGAGGGACCCAGCAGCGGGGTGAGAGGCTGCTGGGGATCAGGCGCCGTGCATTGAATCTGTGGATGAAGAGTGGGGTGGAGCCGTTCTACCTCCCGGAGCTGGGATGGCAGCCCCGGGCTATCTCCAGCAGTGGGTGAGGGATGTTTCCAGGTGTCCTGTGGGAGGGTCTCCACAGGACAGGGCCTGAGGGAGGGCTCTGGGAAGGCGCTCACCTCTGGGCATGTGTGTAAAAGTCCTTACTGCTAACTGTAGGAAAGGGCCAAGGGGGCAGGGGACAATAGAGGGGTGTAAGAAGCTGTGTGGGGGCCCACAGAGGGAGACAGTCATGTTGTGGGTGTGATGGGTGAGGGGAGCAGGGCCAAGAATAAAGAAGACTTCGTGGAGGAGGTAACATCTGAATTGGGCTTTGGAGGTTGAGTAGGAGCTCCCAGCGGGAGAAGAGCATGACAAGGAGGGGGAGGGTCACAAAGGCATGGGCCCAAAAGGGCCAGTCACATTCAGGGGTGCTACGGAGTGTGATGTGCCTGGGCTGTGGATTCAGTGTTCCCCTCAGCGCGGCTCCAGTGCTGAGATTCCATCCTATGGCAGGCTTGCCTAGTTGGTGTGGCGGTTGACCCAAGATGGTGCCCAGAGAATCTTGCATCCTGGTATTCTTGCCTTGGACACTGAGCAGGGTTGACCTATGTGGCCGGGAGAATACTGCTGAAGCAACGCTCTGTGGCTTCCGAGGCTGGGCTGTAAAAGCATTCTGCAGCTTCTGTGTGGTCTCCTGGATTTACACCATCGGCAAGCCAGCCGCCATACTGTGAGGACTCTCAGACAGCCCCCGTGGAGGCCCACGTGGGGAGGAACTGATGAGCCCACCAACCGCTGGCACCAACTTACTTGCCAGCCACATGGGTTGGCTATGTGGAAGTAGATCCTCCTGCCCCAGTCAGGCTTTGAGAGGACTGTGGCCCTCGCTGCCGTCCACCTGCAGTCCCCTGAGAAGCCCCAAGACAGAACTGCCCAGCCATGCTGCTCCTGCATTCCTGACAATTCCTCATAGAAACTGTGAGAAACAGGAAGTGATTATTGCTCTTTTAAGCCGCTAAGCTTCAGGGTAATTTGTTACGCAACGCTAAATGACTAATACAGTTGATTACTGTGGTTCTCCTAAGTTTCTAAGATGGCTGCCCAGGATCCCAGCCGCCAGCTTATTCATGCCTCATGTGATGCCCTCCCCTTGAGCGTGGACTGGACACAGTGACTCGCTTCTAATGAAAGAACAAGACACACCTGATGGGGTGTCACTTTGAGCTTATATTTCCAAAAGACGCTGGCTTCCATTATGTTTGCCTCTCTTGCTCTCTCACTGGCTCTGAGGAAAGCAAGCTGCCATGTTGTGAGCTGCCCTGTGGAGGAGCCCACGTCGCCAAGAACTGAGGGACGTCTCCAGCCAACAGCCGGTGAGGAACCCAGACCAAGGGTCCAGCAGCTTGTGAGGAGCAGAATCTCGCCAGCAACCATGTGGGTGAGTTGAACCCCAGCAGACGCCTTGGTTCCAGACTTGTGAGAGACTCTGAACCCCAGGGCTCTGTAGCTGCCCCCAAAATCCTACTGCACAGAAACTGTGAGGTAGTTAATGCTTGTTGTTTGGAGCTGCTGAGTATGGGGGTCATTTGTTACGAAGTAGGGGGTAACTAACACAGTTCTGATGATTGGTGTCGACCTCCCCTACCCTGTCCCCAGGAGAGCTGCGTGGCTGTGGTCTACACTTGGGTCTCAGCCTGCCATCCTAACCTTGGTCATAGAAGGTGGCGGGGGGCCGTTGAGGGCATGAGAATAGGAGGGAGCACAACTTATTACCTGCCACTTTCTGCAACACCAAGTCAGCCTCCGTAAGAGCAGAGGAGGTGAATAAGCAGGTGGGTGAGACGTACATTCAAGGCCAGGCTATGCCACCTTGTACCCGTGTGGCCTTTAACAGAGGTACAAGAACTCCCCAGGCTCCAGTTGCCAAGAAGCCCTCCTGGCAGAGAGGGGAGCCGCAGAGTGATCAGACTGCCCAGGCAGCACCAGCCAGAGAGCCGACACGCAGACTGAGCAAGAGGATCTTGGGTGCTGGCACATGGCGGGTGCTTGATGCAACCTTAACCCTGTAGCTGTCGGGATTCTCAGCCTCATCGGCTTCATGGCAGCCACTGTTGTAACGATGTCCTCATAGCACCTCCGGGTGCCCGGACCTGGGAGGACCTCGGGAGGATGCCCGCTCTTCAGAGACCTCGAAGCCTCAGTTTGTGCAATCACCCCTGCTTTGCTGGGGGCTTCCCGAAGGAATGTTCCCTGGATCTGGTCACCCCTCGTCCAGTGAGTATGAGCCTGAGCTCTGCACGGCATCCTGCCCAGAATAGCAATGGCTCGCTCAACTTTCTGGAAGTCTCCCGCTCTCCTCCTGCGTGCTGAGGGTCTCTGCCTTGCTTGGGTGTTTATTTCTTGCTCTACGAAGCGATGATTTAATTCTTGCCTGGGATATCATTCAGCCCAAGTTCATGCTGAAGTGAAACATATTTCAGCACCCACCAATTTCCATATAGATAAAAAAAGAAAAAAACAAGAAAGAAGGCAAACAGCCTCCACCAGCATCTTCACAAAACTATGCGTTTGAAACCTGTTTCTTGAAGATGGATTGCTCCATCAGGCTGCTAAGAGGTTTTTCTTGACTTGTCAACAGTTTTATACCCCCACAAACATTCATGGCTATAAATTATTCATTGCCCAGTTAGTGGTTAAAAAAAAAAAGGATGCCTGGGGCCGAGGTACATTCTTAATTCTCCCTCTGCTTTTCAGATCCAAGTTGTTTTTTTCCTTCCTGCTGCTGGAAAAATAGAAATAACTGCAAGTCTCTTGACTCAGAGGTTCATGGCTATGGGCCTAACGAGAAGGTCCTGCTGAGCCCAATATGAGCTTGGCTGGGAGGGTGTGGGTAGTCATCTGTGGGTCACCTGAGTTCTCAAATACATGTGGAGGTGGGAAATAGGTGTGTTGGGGGCTTTCTTCTTCTTCTTCTTCTTCTTTTCTCCTGTTGGCAGGAACTCCAGGGTTTTCAAAAAAGCAGAGAGGAGACTTGATTCTATTCTAGGCCCAGCCATTTCAGAGACCATGGCTGGAGAAGGTCTGAGACTTCCTCTGCTCACCGGCTTCCACCCTCCCTGGACCTCTCCCAGGGCGGGGATCCTACCAGGAGATAGCACGTCCCTTGTCTTTCTCCTTTTGCCTACCCTCTCTTGTCCAGCACACCCTTGGACGTCCCCCTGAACCTAACTGGCCTCCTCTTCCAGCAGGGTTTTTCAAGTCTACCGCCACCTGTGGGATGTGGTTAGAGGTAGTGGGGGAGCGAGGTTTCAGAGCTTGGGGCCTGTATGGGCCATGACAAAGCTGTCCAAACTGGGTGGCTTAAAACAACAGAAATCCATTCTCTACAGTCCTGGAGGCTAGGAGTCAGGAATGAAGATGTCTGCAGGGCTGTGCTCGCTCCAGCCTCTGCCGCCAGGTAGAACCTTCCTCGCCTCTCCCTAGTTCCTGGGGATGGCCCTCCATCCCTGGCCTGCAGCTGGAGTTTCTACTTCATTGTCATATGGTATCCTCCCTGTGTGTCTCTTTGTCCCCCTCTCTTCTTCTAGGGACACCAATCACATGGAATGATGGGCCTACCCTACTCTTCATCTTAACGTCCCCTGTTATATCTGCAAAGACCCTATTTCCAAGTAAGGCCACATTCACAGAGAGCAAGAGTTGGGATTTCAACATATCTTTTTGAGGAACACAACTCAGCCCATGACAGGGTCAGAGGAGGGAGGCACCTCCAGCGATCGGGCCCAGAGCAGAGATCAGAAGCTTCAGAAGGTCAAAGAGTTGGCACCTACTGAGAGCTCGCCTTCCCTCACAACACTCTGGCATGTTATTACCCCGAACGAGTGTCTGTTGCCCCAGCCCTGAGGCACAGTACCAGAGGCCTCTTCTCCGACTGGCTGCGGATGGGCCAGGCTCTGGTGTGGGCCTGAACACCTGTCCTTTTCACATGGGCTTAGAGAGAAAATTGGGTTGACGGTAGGACTGACCCATCTCGAATGGGAACTGGATGTCCCTGGAGAGTAGCTGCCTTGGACCTTGTCCAGTGGCCTGGTTTGAGAACCCAGTGTCCACCTGCCACAGCAGGACATGTGGCCTCTTGTGTGGCCCCTTACTCCACCTTGACCCCCAGTTCCTCCCCCTTCCTCATGTTTTCCCCAGGCATTGGGGGCTTTGCTGGGCAGCATCTCTGGGTGGGCTCTGGGAAGGCCTCTGGGGTCCCCTGTTCAATCTGGAGAGAATCGGCTGGTGGCAGCTCAGCAGTCTCATGCCTGTGCCCTGCTGAGTGAGGCGGTGTTGTGTGGGGAGTGACAATGGGACTGGACATGGGGTTGTTTTCCCCCAACCCTATTCCCTAATGTGGGGAAAAGGATTAATCATTTCATTTCCAATATTTTGTATGTGGAATGCTGAGGAAGAGAAGTGGCCGAGAGTTTGGGCTTCCAGAGAAGACTTCCAGATGCTGCATTTGAAAACACCAGGGGACATTAGGTTTTGTCAAGGACATCGGTGCCCAACTTCTGTCACCTTTCACCAGCCCAGCTATGGGGAAGGGGAAAGCAATGGGGAAGGGGACAGCAGACCAAAGAGGCAGGGGCCCAATGGTCCTGACTCAACTCATTGGATGTGGTTGTTACTTTCTGGGTTACCCACCTTTGATTCAATTTAAGTTTAAGTCAGATCAAGAACCGCTGGAGCTCCTCTGAGACAGGCCACCCCTAGGTGTGGCAATGAGGCAGTTTGGAGTGTAGGCAGCTGAGGGAATGAAGAGGAGCTCGGTGGGAGCCCTTGGCCCATGACGGTTGAGGGAGACAGAAACGAAATGCCAAGCACCCCACATATGATATTTTATGTACTCCTTATACCCCCACAGATGAGGTGACCTTGGCTCTGAGAGACCAAGTGATCTACTCAGGTCACCTGGCTAGTAAGTGGCAGAGCCTCACAGGCCCAAAGTTCCTGAATGGGAGGACTTCTTTTTCAGGCCAGTAGTTTACCCGTCCCTCTGGTCACATAGTAGTGGGTGGTGGCTGAGTCCAAATGATCTTTGGGCAAATGAGATTCCTTCCCAGGGCTGAGGATCTGAGTAGAAGCTTTTGGAGCGGAGTGCTGCCCCCTCCTTGGTTGTCTGGGGAGCCGCACGTGTGATGCATCTAGGTGCTAGCCATATTGATGGAGGAACTGCAAACCCCAGGATGGGCAGCCCACCACTGGGGCACCAAGGTGGGGAATTACTCAGAGGAAGAAGCCATAGCAGGGAATGGAGGGAACGCACTCTCCTGGGAGCAGCGGGTGAAAATTCTCTTTTCATTCAAAGGCCAAAGAGTCAAATAAAAGGAGGTCTTCTGAAATGGGGCTTTTTCAGGGAGTACTAAGAAGCATTTTGCAGAAATCCAGACTGTTGTAAGGAGAAACAAGAGTAGCAAGATGTCCCCAAAATAAATGTATTAATTAATTCCATCATCTTTTCTATCATCCAGGTCATTTAGTTTCTTTTTTTATTATTATTATTATTTCTTTCTTAAGACTGGATTCTTTGAAATAATCTGGAAATGACTATGTAGGTCATTTGTTTTCTGTATCTTTTAAAAATTTATTTTATTAAAAAATTTTAAAATTCAAGTATAATTAAGATACAGTGTTATATTCATTTCAGGTGTACAACATAATGATTCAACAATTCTATACATTTTTTGGTGCTCATCACAATAAGTGTACTCTCTATCTTTTTTTTATTAATAATTTTGTTGAGATGTAATTCACCTATCACATAGTTCATTCATTCAAAGTGTACAACTCAGTGGTTTTTAGTATATTCATCAAGCTCTGCATCCACCACCATGATAAATTTTGGAACATTCTTTATCCTCCAAGAGTACAGCCTTGGGCAGAGCTCCACCAGCCTGGGATGGCAGTGGTCTCAGGAGGGCCCTCTTTGTCTGTTTTTGATCTCTTTGTTGTCTACTTCATTTGGTAATAGACCCAGTCCCTTTCCACTAATCACTGGCTGATTGCTCAATTGTTTTCAAAAATGCCCTGGCATATAAATTGTTCTCTGGTCTGATCCAATTAAGTTCAGGCAGCCTATGAAGTTGGTTGGGAGCCCAGGAGGACTCTTCTTGGCTGTCTCTTTCCCTGGTTCTCTCTGGTGAACCAGCTGGCTTTTCGTTTAGCTGGTTGCTGTAAATTAAGAGGAGCTGTTGTTTTCAGGAGTGCCCTTAGGCTTGAACTTCCCCACATTCTGTTTTACATACAGTCACTTCCTTCCTTCAGGGGTGCTTGGGAGCTCTTTCCCACACACTGCCTTCTCCCCTGGGCACGCTCTCTGAGCTCTAGCCCTGTGTGCCTCCCATCTTCTCAGCTTGCCTCCCCCATGGGAACTGTGCAGTAGGAGACAGCTTGCAGGGGGAAGCTGGGGTTCCGGTCTTCTTGGCCTGCCCTGCCTAGGGGCAGCTGGAAGGAAGGTAGTCCCGACCTCTCCACCACACTCCCCAGGAATTCAGCCTTTTTAACTTGGAGTTGGAGGGCATGAGGAATGCTGGTGGCCTGTCCCTCCATGAAGGAGAGAAATGTGCTTGTGGCTGAAATGCCACAGACTCTGGCTGTTCCTACTGCATTTTAGTAGATTTTCTTGAACAGATGATTCTTCATTTGTCATATGCTCTTAGGACAGTTCCCAGAGACTTTAAATGGGTTTTCTGTTTGTTTGTTTGTTTTGTTTTTTTAGTAGTTTTGCCAGCTTTGCTTGTTTCACTACGGAATGGTCCATGGAGTTATTCATGCTTTGTCCCAGAAGTGGAAACTATTGTTTTACCCTAATAATGAAGGCATCTTTATATTAATGAATTTATCTCCAAATAGAGCTTTTATGGGATGTGATGAGTTTCAACAAGTCATATTCTGATTTTCTGTTGTATTTATTATTTTCTAAACTCAATAAGAAGAATATTTTAGTTTTCAAATGTGTTATTGTCTATCTATCTATCATCTATCTACCCATCATCTATCAGTCTATCTATTTTTGGTTTTCAGGCTTTCATTGTTCCAGTGTAGCTTTTGCTGGATTTTCTGGTTTGGAAAATGGCTTGTATAATTTCTGCCTTTTGTAACTTAAAAAGTTTATCGTTTTGGACAAGTAAGTATGTGATAAGTTTTTGTAAATGCTCTATCACCACCAACTTGAGAAAAAGGTATATTCTCTGCTTGTGGGGCACAAAACTCAATGTCTATCTATTTAATGTTATTAATCATGTTGTTCAGTCCCCTAGGTATATAACAGGCAATACTCCAACAGATGGAGATGGGGTAGGAGGAGCAGAGCAATTGTGAAGCAAACTTGTAAAGCGATCTTGGCTAGCTCATGGTGATTTCATGGGAAATGCTACTTGACTCATCTTCCCCAGAGGCTTATCCAGGTAGAATAGGGCACAGATTCATAAGACTTTTGGATTAGAAGGGCCCTTGGAGATTTTATAGCTCCTCTTCCTGGCTTTACAAACAAGGACAATGACTTGCCCAGGGTCACATGGCTGGCAAACTCTGAAGCTGGGAACGGAATGCGGGTCCTTGGATTCTGGTAAGGGCATGGAGTCTCTGTTTCTGCCCGGCTTCTGGTGTGCTGTATCCTGTTTCAGACTTTATTTTTGTCCCTGGGACAGTTAGTGCCTTAAGAATGGGTGAGCTACATCTCATGAAAAAAAAAAAAGCCTTCTATATTTATTTGTAGGTACTTTATAATTTGCTGGGCGCACTTTTATATGCCTCACCTAATTTAGTCTTCATAGTCCAGTGACATTTAAGGCAGCGCTGATACCTCAGTCCTGTGGGTGAAGAAAGCAGGGCTCAGAGACTCTAAGTCCACATCAGCCCCAGGGTCTTCTGCCCCCCGCCCCCGAGGTCATGCATTCAATCACAGGACCCTGGAGTCCAGTCCCATCTTGGCCCAGAACCAATATTCAGACTTTCATTTCCCAAGTGGTTCTTTTGGGGTAAAATTGTAACATCCTGTACGATTTTTCTGTCCTCTATTGGAACAGTACCCTAGGGAGCTGGCGGAGGTTCATGAACACAGTGGTAAGTCTGGGAAATTATTATTTTAAAAATATCACTCTCTGCACCTGCTGTTCATAGGTTATAATCGACTGGGTGTATACTTGAAGCATTTCTCTGCTTATCTCCTGGGACACCCTTAGTCCATTCACTGCCTTCTGCTCCTTCTCGTGCAGGGGCATTAGGTAGCTAAGTTTCAGTTGTACCCGCCCCCCCGCCCCAACTCAAGGCTGCCGCTGAGCAGCCTTTCTTGTTCTCATCTGGGACTTTGGAAACACCTAAATTGGCTGTGATCAGAGGCTCCTGATTGTCTCTTCTCAAGTAAATGGCCCCAAACAATAGTTGCTATGTAGGGCTGCATTGATTATCTGTTCTCGTGTAACAAGTTACCCCCAAATCTAGTGGTTTAGAACAGCAATACACACCTACTAACTCAGTGTCTGTGGGCCAGGAATTTGGGAGTGGCTGGGTTGGGTGCTTCTGGCTTGAGATCTCTCATCAGGGTGCAGTCAGGGTGCAGTCACACAGGGCTGCTGTCATTTGAAGGTTGGTTTGGGGCTGGAGGATAAACTTCCAAGGTGGCTCCACACACGTGGCTGGAAGGCTAGTGCTGGCAGGAGGCCTCACTTCCTTCCATGTTGACCTCTCCACAGGGCTACCTGAGTGTCCTCACAACATGGCTTCCCTCAGAGCCAGTGCCCCAGGAAAGAGAAGTCAGAAGCTCCATGTATCTTATGACCTTGACTTGGAAGTTATACCAACCATTTCTGCAGCAATCCACTGGTTCCACCACTGCAATAACTCTATTCAGTGGGGGGGAGGGGGGAAGGGGGGGGTGCGAAGGACTGCACAGGCTGTGAATCAGCCAGGAGGTGGGAATCACTCAGGGCCATCTGGAGGCTGCCTGCCACAGGGTGCACCAAGCCCCAGAACCTGTGCTAGCTGCTTTATATATATTATATATATATACATATACAAATATATATATATATATTTCTCCTCTCCACAGCTCTGTGAGGCAAGCCTTATTCACCCTACTTACAGAAAGGAAACAGATGAAGTGATTTGCCTCTTGACACACCACATAGATTTGAACTCCACTCCAAAGTTTGTGCATTAACCCCTTGCCCTGTACTGACTCCTGCTGTCTTCTATGCCTTCTGTCTTCCAGCTAGCATTGTGCTTTGCTCAGCTGCTCTGTGAGAGACTCAGAAGCGCCATGTGGGGATGGCTGGGCTCTTGGACTGGAACACAGGACCAAGGCAGCAGTGAAGAGTGGCCTTCATGTGAGTTCAGGCTGGATTAACAGAAATATGATGTCTAGAATCTAGGAGGTGAGAGTCCCTGGTCTGGGCAGACTATAGGATTGGAGATGCCACTGTGAAAAGTCTGCAGATGCTGGAACCTATTTAGGAGGGACAATCCTAGGGCAAGTGGAGAGTTGAGGAAGTGGGAATGCTTAACCTAGGTAAAAACAACCAGAAAACTTCGAGATAGAAGATGGGGCTGTGGTGACATTTACACACTTCTGTGTGGAGCCCATGGCGTGGAGGGCCCCATCAGATGACCGCCAAATCTCCAGACTGATTTCACCAAGAATCTGACGTCACCTCTTGCAGCCTATGCCCCTGAAAGCAGTCAGAGAAGCTTATTTTCATGTGCAGATGTCACATGTCACCCACCTGCTCAGCTACCTTAAGCTTCACACCAAGACTGTGATGGTGAACTCGGCCATCAAAGCTCAGCCTCATCTCACACTGCAGGTCTTGCTCTCTGTGCTTCCTCCAGACTGGCCGTTCTTTTCCTTCTGCAAACAGTCCCTGCTCACCCACACGGATGGACACATATGCATACATAAACACGTTCACACACAGGAACACGTCCATACCCACATAAATGGACACACATGCACAAAACATACAGACACGCACAGGAACATGTCCACACATTCAGGCACATATAAACACACTCAGACGCAGGCATACACAGACACACACACAAACACACTCACCCATAGGAACATGTTGTCCACATCCCCCCACATGTATACACATGGAACACAATCATACACAAATGTGCTCACACATGTGTATCCACAAACTCATATTCACATGGACACAAACATATTCACATACAAGAACATGTTGTCTATGCTCACACTCACATGAACACACATGGACACATATATATGCACTCACATATTCATAGTCACATGCTCACACACATTTACATGTAGTCATACACTTCACATACACACTCATGTGCACATCCAGATGTTCACATGAAAACACACTTATACATACTCACCCATGCTTGTTCATACACATACACATGCACACATTCACCCACATGGGCTTCTACCCACTCTTGCATGCACACACTTGCTCACTCTCACACATTCATACTCACATGCTCACCCCCACACATGTGCACACACGCCCTCCCTCCACTCAGACACACAGGTCCTACATTTGTCTAAGTAACACTGCTCATTCCTCAACTTAGCCATATTCTCAGGGGAGCTTTACCTGACTCTCCACATAAAGTCAGACCTTCCTATTTGGATGCTCCTAATAGATGTTGTCATTTGCAGTTTCTTGTTTGGTAGCCGTCCCCCCACTAGACAGTGGCCTCCGGCTGGATTTGCTACCTCCATATCTAGGGCAGTGGGCATTCATGGTTGGTGGAAAGAAGTAGTGTGTGCTCTATTCGGCAGGGAGCACTTGCGGAAGGTGATGTGGGGGTGGGGGACGGATGACCCTTTGGGTCTCTCTAAGTCCCAAGAGTCTCTGAGTTTACCATAAACTCCTTGTTTCCTGGGATGCAAAGTCCTGTTTCAGGAATTAACTTGTGAATTTATCTTAGTTTGTAGCCCTCGGAATCACTTCTTTGATGGCTGAGTAATATTCCATTGTATACACACCACATCTTCTTTATCCATTCATCTGTTAATGGACATCTGGGCTCTTTCCACAGTTTGGCTATTGTAGACATTGCTGCTATAAACATTGGGGTGCAGGTGCCCCTTCGGATCACTATTTTTGTATCTTTGGGGTAAATCCCTAGTAGTGCAATTGTTGGTTGTAGGGTAGCTTTATTTTCAACTTTTTGAGGAACCTCCATACTGTTTTCCATTGTGGCCGCACCAGCCTGTATTCCCACCAACAGTGTAAGAATGTTCCCCCTTCTCCGGACCCTTGCCAACATCTGTCATTTCCTGACTTGTTAATTTTAGCCATTCTGACTGGTGTGAGGCGGTATCTCATTGTGGTTTTGGTTTGTATTTCCCTGATGCGGAGTGATGTTGAGCATTTTTTCATGTGTCTCTTGGCCATTTGTATGTCTTCTTTGCAGAAATGTCTGTTCATGTCTTCTGCATATTTCTTGATTGGATTATGTGTTCTTTGGGTGTTGAGTTGGATAAGTTCTTCATAGATTTTAGATACGAGCCCTTTATCTGATAAGACATTTGCAAATATCTTCTCCCATTCTGTCGGTTGTCTTTTGGTTTTGTCGACTGTTTCCTTTGCTGCGCAAAAGCTTTTTATCTTGATGAAATCCCAATAGTTCATTTTTGCCTTTGTTTTCCTTGCCTTAGGAGACGTGTGTAGCAAGAAGTTGCTGCGATCGAGGTCACAGAGGTTGCTGCCTGTGTTCTCCTGTAGGATTTTGATGGATTCCTGTCTCACATTTAGGTCTTTCATCCATTTTGAGTCTATTTTTGTGTATGGTGTAAGGAAATGGTCCAGTTTCATTCTTCTGCATATGGCTGTCCAATTTTCCCAACAGCATTTGTGGAAGAAACTGTCTTTTTTCCATTGGATATTCTTTCCTGCGTTGTTGAAGATTAGTTGACCATAGAGTTGAGGGTCCATTTCTGGATTCTCTATTCTGTTCCATTGATCTATGTATCTGTTTTTGTGCTGTACTATACTGTCTTGATGATTACAGCTTTGTAATAGAGCTTAAGTCCAGAATTGTGATGCCATCAGCTTTGGTTTTCTTCTTCAACATTCCTTTGCCTATTTGGGGTCTTTTCTGGTTCCATACAAATTTTAGGATCATTTATTCCAGCTCTGTGAATAAAGTTGATGGTATTTTGATAGGGATTGCACTGAATGTATAGATTGCTCTAGGTAGCATAGACATTTTAATAATATTTGTTCATCCAATCCAGGAGCATGGAATGTTTTTCCATTTCTTTGTGTCTTCCTCAATTTCTTTCATGAGTGTTCTATAGTTTTTTGAGTATGGATCCTTCGCCTCTTTGGTTAGGTTTATTCCTAGGTATCTTATGATGTTTGGTGCAATTGTAAATGGGATCGACTCCTTAATTTCTCTTTCTTCTCTCTCATTGTTAGTGTATAGAAATGCAACTGATTTCCATGCATTGATTTTATATCCTGACACTTTGTTGAATTCCTGTATGAGTTCTGGCAATTTTGGGGTGGAGTCTTTTGCAGTTTCCACATAGAGTATTATGTCATCTGCAAAGAGTGAGAGTTTGACTTCTTCTTTGCCAATTCAGATGTCTTTTATTTCTTTTTGTTGTCTGATTGCTGTGGCTAGGACTTCTGGTACTGTGTTGAACAGCAGTGGTGATAGTGGTCATCCTGCTGTGTTCCTGACCTTAGGGGAACAGCTCTCAGTTTTTCCCCATTAAGAATGGTATTTGCTGTGGGCTTTTCATATATGGCTTTTATGATATTGAGGTATGTTCCCTCTATCCCTACACTGTGAAGAGTTTGAATCAAGAAAGGATGCTGTACTTTGTCAAATGCTTTTTCTGTATCTATTGAGAGGATCATATGGTTCTTTTTTTTTTTTTTTTTTTGGTGGGCAGCAAAGCAAGATTTATTGAGTGATAGCAAAGTGATAGTACAAAGCTCCCAAGGAGGCAGGGGACCTGAGAGGGTTGCCCAAGAGGATGATATGGTTCTTATGTTTTCTTTTATTAATGTAGTGTATCACATTGATTGATTTGTACATGTTGAACCATGCTTGCACCCAAGGAATAAATCCCACTTGGTCGTGGTGAATAATCCTTTTAACATATTGTTGGATCCTATTGGCTAATATCTTGGTGAGAATTTTTGCATCCATGTTCATCAGGAATGTTGGTCTGTAATTCTCCTTTTTGGTGGGGTCATTGTCTGGTTTTGGGATCAAGGTAATGCTGGTCTTATAGAATGAGTTTGGAAGTTTTCCTTCTGTTTCTATTTTTTGAGATAGCTTCAGAAGAATAGGTATTAATTCTTCTTTAAATGTTTGGTAGAATTCCCCTGGGAAGCCATGCAGCCCTGGACTATTGTTTGTTGGGAGATTTTTTATTACTGCTTCAATTTCTTTGCTGGTTATGGGTCTGTTCAGGTTTTCTATTTCTTCCTGTTTTAGTTTTGGTAGTTTATACATCCATTTCTTCCAGATTGCCTAATTTGTTGGTATATAGCTGCTCATAAATGTTCTTATAATTGTTTGTATTTCTTTGGTATTGGTCATGATCTCTCCTCTTTCATTCATGATTTTATTTATTTGGGTTCTTCCTCTTTTCTTTTTGATAAGTCTGGCTAGGGGTTCATCAATCTTATTATTTCTTTCAAAGGATCAGCTCCTAGTTTCGTTGATCTGTTCTACTGTTTTTTTTTGTTGTTGTTGTTGTTGTTTCTATTTCATTGATTTCTGCTCTAATCTTTATTAGTTCTCTTCTCCTGCTGGGTTTAGGCTTTATTTGCTGTTCTTTCTCTAATTCCTTTAGGTGTAAGGTTAGGTTGTGTATTTGGGAAAGGCTTGTATTGCTACACACTTCCCTCTTAGGCCTGTCTTTGTTGCATCCCAAAGGTTTTGAACAGTTGTGTTTCCATTTTCATTTGTTTCCATGAATTTTTTAAATTCTTCTTTAATTTCCTGGTTGACCCATTCATTCTTTAGTGGGATGCTCTTTAGCCTCCATGTGTTTGAGTTCTTTCCAAATTTCTTCTTGTGATTAAGTTCCAGTTTCAAAGTGTTGTGGTCCAAAAATATGAAGGGAATGATCCTTATCTTTTGGTATTGGTTGAGACCTGATCTGTGGCCCAGTATGTGATCTATTCTGGAGAATGTTCCATGTGCACTCAAGAAGAATTTGTATTCTATTGCTTTAGGATGGAATGCTCTGAATATATCTATGAAATCTCCATCTGCACTCTGTGCTCACCCAGCCTGTGACCCAGCATTTCTATCTCTGGCATGTGACTCCGTTTCAAGTCTCCAAACCCTGCAGACTCCTGAGGTGTGCACCCGTGCTGCTCCTCCCTGGGGAGAAAGTGGGGGTGGGGGCTGTCTTGCCATGGTTTTGCTGTGGGCTGTGGGCCTCTGCTTGGAGAACGGCCACCTGACTTCTCCTCAGTTTGCAGTATATGGCAACCCTGAGCTGATAGCAGCTGTCTTCCCTGTTCTGATGCTTCCCTGTTCTCTGCTGCACTCAGACACCCCCGGTCTTCCTGTGACCCCAAGGATCCTGAGACCATACTGTCTCATCTAGGAGTCTGCCCTGCTTTGCCACCTGAATACCTTTCAGGCAGGGCCTATCCCTCACTTGAGCAGACTTCTAAAATTTCTGATTTTGTGTTCCTCTGCTATATCACTTTCTGGTGCTGGCTTATGAAGGCTCCTTCCCCTTATGGTTTATCTTCCCATATATCACCTCGGATTCACTTCTCTGCACCTCCTACCTTATAGAAAATGGTCACTTCTCTATTTGTAGAGTTGCAGCTATTTTCTTAGATCTCCGGTTGAGTTCACAGGCGTTCAGAATGATTTGATAGCTATCTAGCTAAATTCCTGGGACCGGATGAAATTAAGGTCTCCTACTCCTCCGCCATCTTGGACTATGCTGCAGTCCTCTGTGTTCTTGATCACCCCAGGGAACCAGTCATGCTGCTTTTGCCACCAGGACAGCCGCTGGGGCAAACTCAGACTGAGAACCATGATTTATTGTGAATAGATGGGAACATGTTTGGCCCCATGGGGTGGGATGGTGAGGAAGAGGCAGATGCAGACCCCACCAGGTCCCTAGTGCTTGAACCCCCTGCTCTCTGGAAGGGCCCTGTGCCCGATCCGTGTTACTCAGTATGTGGCCCAGGGACCCCGCTGGGTGTGGGCTGTTAATGATCTAGTAAGTACAGAAATTTAAAGCAGGCATTTAGACATATGACAGCCATTTGAACGAGTAATGATCTGTTGAATATAATAATATAATATATAATATTATAATGAAATATGATAATAAGAAAGTTGGCTTGCATCTTGTATCTTTTTTCCATGTCATTTTTTAGAAATTTATTTTTTATCATATTTTACAGAAGTCTCCATCCGTGATGGATTGGAAATTGAGAAACAAAATACCCACTAGTTCATCACCATAGAGGATTTAAGTGCTGGGACCAGCCACTCCCTGGAATTCCCCTCGTGCTGAGATGCCAAGACCCTTTGAGGGGGATGTGCCTTTGCCTGCAGTGACCTTGGGCCCCGACCCCTGGGATTAATTGCCATGACAGAAAGACACAAGGCTGGCTTTTTGGGCCCTGGCCTGCTCACTTTGCCTGGGAAGTAGAGCCTTTAGGTACCTCTTGTTGTACCTAGAGGAGCCTGTTCTTATTTAAAATTTTGATACTTTGTTCATCATGTTTGTTTTGCATTCATTTGGATTATTTAGAATATTACATTAAAATATTATTTTTCTTGATTTGAGTTTTTGGTGCCCTTTAAATTTTGTACCCCAGGCCTATACCCTGACTAGAACCCAGGGGCTCTGGGGTCCCCCAGTGGGAGGCCCCAGTGCCAGAGGGGAGTTGATAACCAGAGCAAACCAGTAAAGACTTTCAGAGGCTCATGAAGAGCTGTTTACTGGGTCCAAGGGGGGCTTATTGTATGTGCTGGGGGTAGGCCTGGGCAGTTAGGAGAGGAAGTAGATAGTGAAAAGTCTCTGGCTGAATTAATAGTCCCCTAGTCCTTCCACAGGCTTATGTTCTGAGAAGCCCATTGGAGTTGATAAAATCTTAAAAACTGGTTGGGTCTTGCTGAGAAGTCAGTTAGGTATGTCATGGATAGAATGTTCTATTAACTCACCTACCCTAACCTTCCTGTTCCCCTCCCCTTCACATTCTCCCGTCAGGACTGGTTTTGTGGGGGAGATACCTGCTGGCGTTCACACAAGAATAAGGGATGCCCCCCTCCCCTGCCCAACACAGAAGGAGCTTCTGGAAAGTTCTCTAAGGAGTGGGGAAGGTTGTTCACCGATGGATGATTTTCTGATGTGGTTCCTTAGAGGCCTGATCATAAGGTGACCTCACAGATAGCAGTGCTTTTTGAAAAGGAAAATGTTAAATACCCCGTAATGTTTTCTACCCAGGCCACCATGACAAGAGGCCACATCCAGGGGCTTGAATGACAGATACTTGTTTCTCACAGTTCTGGAGGCTGGACCTCCAAACTCAGAGTGCCAGCATGTTTGCCTCCTGGCAAATGCTCTCTTCCTGGCTTCTAGCTCTGTCTTCACATGGAGGAGAGAGCACTCTGGTGTCTCTTCTTATGAGAACACTCGTCCCATCATGAGGGTCCCACCCTCATGATCTCCTCTAACCTTAATTATCTCCTCCAGGCCCCACCTTCAACATGGATTTGGGGGGGATACATTCAGTCCATGGCAACCTACAATCTTCCACTTTAGAAGGGAGTGTTTGTCCCCATAGAATTTTTGTTTATATTTTAGCTTGTGAGGCTTGTGCTGGAGTTGTGGCCATGGTCATTTAGGATAGCCCCTTAATGGTTCCCTTGGCCAGTGTTTCAGTTTGGGGGCAAACCAGGTTCAAACAATGAAGCTCAGAACCCGACTGACAGTTTCCGCCACAGCTCTTTCCGCCAGACCTGCACACCAATTCTTGGCAGGTAGCTGGGTGAGCATGACCCACAGCAGAGGGTGCCCAACAGCCAAGCTGCAGAAGGAGCCAGAGGCCCCACCATCCCACAGTCTCTTGCCTCTGTAAGCTGGCCTGTGGCTCACATGTTTTATTTTCTAAGCATGAAGGGACCTTGGCATTCAGATTTCTGGGGCTCTCAAGCTGGCCATGTTGACTTGTCTGTGGATTTGGACTTAAACAGTGCACAGTGAAGTTGCATCATAACTTCTGCTGACCGTGGATTTACTCGGGGAGTGGTTAATCATCAGCTGGGTCCCAGAATCTTTGCACTGGTTGAGCTCCTTCTGTTGTATTGTCCTAAATGTTCCCATTTGTTCTTCAAGAAAATGTCCCTAGAACAACAAGACAAAAATAAATAAATACTAGAAATTCATTGCTTCCTAATTATTTTACTACAGTTTTTACAATTACCCACGTTCTTGAGGTTATTTACATCTTCGTATCTGTGGTGGAAAAACTACATGATGGTGTGCCACTCTGCATCTCTTCCCAACTCAGTGTCCAGTGATGTGACATTTGTAGCTACAAATGAATAATGATGGTAGTATTTACACAAGAAGTTGGACCTTCCCCTACTGCCCACCCTTCAGAGCTGAGAACCCACTGTTACACATTTACCAGCACCCCAGTGGAAAGTGGATTGAAAAATGAGCTCAAGGTTTTTGGTCTCAGAAACTGGAAGAGTTGAGTTGCTATTTACCAAGTTCAGTAAAATGCAGAAAAAGGAGTTCTGAGGTGGAAATCAATGGTGTGGTTCTGAACATTTTATCTTTGACATGAAAATCATGCATATGATACAAGTCTGGGGTTCAGGGAAAAGATCTCAGGTGAAGATAAATATTTAAGAGTCATCAGCATTTGTCTGACAGCGCCGAGAGGCAAGATGAGGTCAAGGCAGTGAGTTAGATGGAGGAACACAGTCCTGGGATAATAGCTGGGGTCCTCCAATACTTACAGATCAGAGTGAAGACCAACCACCAGCAGAGGAGACCAAGAAGAACGGCCAAGGGGGGCAGAAGAGAACCAGTAGGGTGTGATGTGTTGAAGAAGCCAAGTAAACAAAGGACTTCTAAAAGGAGGAAGTGATCAACTATGTCAAATGCTAATAATGACAGAATTGATCATTGCATTTGGCAATGTAGAACTATTGGTGATCTTGAGAAGAGTCAAGGGGGTGGTGGAGAAAAAGCCTGATTGGCATGGGCCCAAGAGAGGATGGGAGGAAAAGAATTAAGAACAGTAAGTAGAGATGACTCTTTTCAGAATATTGAAAGAGAAGCAGAGGATTGAAGTAGTTGCTGGAAAGGCATGTGAGTGCACGTGAATGAAGATTCCCTTTTTTAAATTTAAGATGAGGTATATTTAGGCACACTTGTGTAATGGATGGAAATAATCCAGTGCAGAGAGACAAATTGATGATACAGAAGAGAAGTGACAATTGCTAGAACAATGCCCTTGGGTAGCTGAGAAAGAATGGAACCCAGAGCCTAAGTGGAAAGCTTGGCTTTAGGTGGGAGCGTGGACCAAAAAAAAAAAAAAAAAAAAAAGGAAAAGAAAATGTCCCTAGAATTGCAAAAGCCTCCTGGATGCTGCAGTTGGGACAAACTCCCCACATTTGAGTGAGAAGGAAGTCTGCAAGCTTCCAGGAGTGACAGGGCTTCTGTTGGCCATAGCTGCCACCTGGCTGACCCCCTCCTTGTTTCCAGTTCAGGTTTGATTTGATTCTGGTGGGTGACTCATGGCTGTGTCATACTCCAGGATGCAGAGCTGAACATCAGTCCTTATAGTCCTGGGGGAGATTTCATCCTGCAGCCAGGCCAGCCTGCCCTGATGGGAGGCTCATCGCATGACACGGGGCAGGCTGGGGGCTGTGTTTGTGGGACAAGTGCTCAGGTGACTCTCATTAGGGATATTTTGGGAAACACCAGCAATTCACCAGGTGAGCTGCCCACCTGGGTCAAGGGGGTCCTGCCCCTCGTCCTACCCCAGGCCAAGAGAATCAGAATCACACAGACCTGGGCTGAGGAAAACTATTTTCTAAAACTGTGCCAGATGATTAAAATAATACTAATACTATTAGTAATAATAGTTTTGTTCCTTTTGTAAAGGATACATTTTAATTATAAAGAATTTAAATCACACAGAAAATGCAAGAAAGCCTAAACTCTACCATCTAGGAGCAGCACTGTTAACTTTATGCAGGCAAAACCCCAATGTTTCTTTTTTTTCTTTTTTAATTTCTTTTATCTATGAGAGGGAGAGAGAAAGAGAGAATGCCCAAGCAGGAGGAGGGGCAGACGGAGAGGGAGAAGCAGACTACCCGCTGAGCAGGGAGCCTGATGCGGGGCTCAATCCCAGGACTACTCTGGGGTCATGACCTGAGCTGAAGGCAGATGCTTAACTGACTGGGCCACCTAGGCACCCCACCCCAACGTTTCTTTAAGCATCAACACTGATAGAAGAAGGCTAGATGGACTGGCACACCTGGCCACACATTCTGAGGCAGGTGGGCCCATGTTAGGTCCCCAGAGCTCAAGGGACTCTACTCTCTGCGGGATCCACAGTAGCCTCACTGAGTGTAGCTGTTGGTGGTTGGAGTGGGCCCTGTCTGGGGAGTTCCTCCTGGAGGCCCAGGGCCACCACCATCTCTGTACCCACGTCATGCTTTCACACATTGCTGGCACCTCATAGCACTCTGATCCAGCTGTCCCCTCAGACGGAAGTGGGGCACAGTGCCATTTTCTCCAAACCATCATCTTAAACAAATGGGAGCAATCAACCATTAACAATGTGAGACAACACGTTAATGTTGTGGCCCACCAAAACCATGGGACCATGGTTACTGCTGACCCCAGTGCCTCTGAGCCAGAGCTTCCCAACAGAGGTTTATGGCATTTGACCTCTCAGTCCATGGTGAGGCTGGGGTGAGGGTGCACAGGCAGAAAAGCCCCCAGGCCAGAAGCATCCAGCAAAGGAGCCTCAGTGAACCACAGAATGTTGCAGATAGAGTAGCTTTTTCTACATAAGCTGGAGTATTAGTGTCCTAGGGTTGCTGCAACAAAATACCAAAAACTTGGTGACTTAAAACAATGGAAATTTATTTTTTATAGTTCTGGAAGCCAGAAGTCCAAAATGTAGATGTCAGCAGGGTTGAGCTCCATCTGGAGATTCTAGGGGAGGATCCTTTGCCTCTTCCAGCTTCTGGTTGCTGCTGGCGTCCCTTGGCTTGTGGCCACATCGCTCCCATCACTGCCTCTTCCTCACATGGCCTTCTCCTCTGTGAGTCTCCTCTTCTGTGTCTTATAAGGATACTTGTCATTGGATTTCGGGCCTGCTCTAATGGAAGATAATCTCATCCTGAGATCCTTGAATTGTATCTTTGAAGACCCTTTTTCCAAATAAGGTCATTGACAGGTTCTGGGAAATGGACTTTTTGAGGTCACCATTCAACTCACTACAGCTGTGCTGTGAAAGGCTGGAAGCATGTCCAGCAGCCTGGAATATAGCAGCAAGACGCTGCTCGGCCTTGGGGAGGTGTGATGGTCTGGGTGTGTGTCCCCCCAAACTCATGAGTTGAAATCCTAACTCCCCGGGGTGATGGTATTAGGAGGTGGAGCCTTTGGGAGGTGATTATGTCCTGGGAGAAGAACCCTCAGGAATGGTATTATTGCCCTTATAACAGAGACCCCACAGAGCTACCTCAGCCCTGGGTAGGGACATAGCAAGGAGTCCATGACCCAGAGGAGGGCCTCACTTGACCATGTTG